ACATGATACAGAGCTATAGAGAAGGAAGTGCACTAAGCATCTCTTGCTTGGGCAGCTTCAAGTGACTCTAGCCCCTTCAATGAGGCTAGCCTCACCTAAAGTCATCCAGCACCACTCCATTCTGGACAAAAAGGAAAGCGTTTGGTTGTAGTTGCCCCTGCAATGAGTGAGTTTGGTAGAAAGAAAAATGATGCTTGGGGAGTACCTTAATGACTTTCCTGGAATTGGCTTACATGATGTAAGTAAAAACAGTACCTTTGGCTGGTGTCTATTGGTAGAATAGGAATTGGCAAGAGAAAGCACAATTAATGTCAACATACTTTGCTCCTGGTTCAAGGACTACTATAAGCAAACAGAACTTTAATGTGGCCATGTGAAAGAGCCCTGAGTCTTGAGCTGTACTTGTACAGATATTCCAGGCACAAAGAAATCTTCTCATATTGGGTTTATCAAAATCAATACAGGTAATCCTCGGTTAGCCATGACCTTGGTTAGTGCCCATTTGCAAATAAGACTGTAATAAATGATAATTAAAATTTCATTTTTCAGCCAATGCATGTATTTAGGACTAAATTTTGGATATTAGGATTGTAGAAAAAACAATCACTACCAACCTGCCTTCAATTGAGGACCTGTATACTGCATGAGTCAAAAAAGAGGGCTGTGAAAATATTTACAGACCCCTCACATCCCAGACATAAACTGTTTCAACTCCTTCCCTCCAAATGATGCTATAGAACACTGCACACCAGAACAACTAGACACAAGGACAGTTTCCCCCCGAAAACCATCACTCTGCTAAACAAATAATTCCTTCAACACTGTCCAACTGTTTACACAGTCTGCACTACTATTACTATTAATCTTCTCATCACTTCTTATCACCCATCCCCTTCCACTTGTGACTGACTTTGACCTCGTTGCTTGTATCCTTACGATTTATATTGACTGTTTCCTAGTATGATTTGATTGCTTATTGTACCCTATGACTATTATTAAGTGTTGTACCTTATGATTCTTGACTCTTGACAAATGTATCTTTTCTTTTATGTACTCTGAGAGCATTTGCACCAAGACAAATTCCTTGTGTGTCCTATCACACTTGGCCAATAAAGAATTCTCTTCCATTCTATTCTGTTCTGTTCTGTTTGGTTTGACAACAAAAGACTTCAGCATGAGACTGATGAAATTCTGGTCAGTTTCAGGAAGCTGCCTGGAGGGATCTAATCAACTAATTTAAGGTCACACAACCGAGCTTGTCAACTTGCAGTTAACACTTTTTAGAGACATGCTGCTCTGTGGAGAAAAGTGGCTCAGGAAGAGATAGCTTGTTTAAGCAATCTCTCATTCCTGTGAGGGGGCAAAAAAGAAGGGGAAGCAATGGGTCACAGAACCCTATTAGATAAAAATGAGACTGCAGCAACCAACAATCTTTTACTCCATTTTCCTTAATGATCAAATCACAGAAACTGATTTTAGTCTTTAAACAAGAAGAGGTGTATAAATATATGGATTCAGTTACAAAAAAAGTAGAAACTCAGGGTTACTAAGTACAGGTAGTCATAGATTAATAATGGTAATTGGGACTGGTTACTCTATCAGCAGGTAACATAGTTGTAAAGGGTGATATCATGTGATTTTGCTAAGCTACAGTGGGAATTCTGCCACATTATTAAGCAAATCCTGTTGGTCATTAAAGCTTGATACCACACAATTGCCATTTCTGATCTCTCGCCAGCTTCTGCACTGATTTTGCTTGCTGGAAGCCTACAGTGAAGGTCACCAATGGCCATGCCATGAGTACAGAATGCTACATCATATTTGCAAGCTATTACCAAGGGCCCAAATTGGAATCACATAACTGCTGTGATGCTGTGACAGGCACAATTTTAAGAGCGAGTCATAAACTCCATTATTCAGCATTGTAACTTTGAACAGTTGCTAATTTGCTTGAACTATCTGTACAATCATAGGCAACAAAGGCCAGATTAGCTTTACTGAATTTTTATAGGGCAGGTATTATTTATTTATTTAGCTATTTATTAAATTTACATGCCACTCAATTTGGGCAGATTTGAAACTTATGCAGTCCATTGTACTTTATTTATTTATTTATACTAAACTCAGAAATCCACCACAGTTTGGATGCTGGATTAGGGAATATAGCCATAAAACATATATTTAATCTGTGTACAGTATATACGGATAGTTCTCAATTTATAACCACAACCAAGCCCAAAATTTATGTTGCTATGCAGGACAGTTAAGTGAATTTTACCCCATTTTATGGCTTTTCTTGCCACTTTTGTTAAGTAAATCACTGCAGTTGTTAAATTAGTAACATAATTATTAAATGAATCTACCTTCCCCATTAACTTTGCCTTTCAGATTGCAAAATATGTTCACAGGACCTAAATACATGCTAGTTGCCAAACATTGAGATTCTGATCATATGATCACAGGGATGATGCAAGCACTGTAAGTGTGAAAAACAATCATACATCACTTTTTTCAGTGCCATTGTAACTTCGAACAGTCATTAAATGAACATTTGTTAGTCAAGGACTACCTGTATTTAAATACAAAAACTGCAGTTGAGCATATATTTCAACAGTTTAATCAAAGTTTAATCAAAGGGCACTAAAAAAACAAATCAGTATGAAAACAACATACAGTTATTCATTGCATAACTGTACTATATATTTAGAATACTTTTATATTTATTTTCTATGCAAACTAATGCTCACAATGCAGGCAAGCAAATTACGGATAGTCTCCAAAGATACAGTGATAATAACAAACATGGGTGGTTTTAAAAGTGGGGGTTACAGCCTTATATAAAACAAGGCTGTAAATAGAGATAATGGCTAATTAACTATATATTACTATAATCACTAAGCTATAACTGTTTATAGCCTTACTATCTATTAAATCAGAGAAAGTTACAATACTTGTAAAATATAGCATTATTGTGCTATATTATAATACATAATAGTTATATTATGTATTAAACTAAAAAAAATCAAAATCTTTTTCATATTTTGCAAGAATTCAATGCACTTTGCAACTTTTTCTTAATGTCAATTTTTGTTCACTGACATCCTACGAATAATGTTTAATCTTGATATAAACTTGTTTTCTCATCTTTAAAGGTTCCATTTATCTTGATCATTACTGTATTAACATTTTTCAACTTCTACTGTATAAATATCACAGAACTCAGTACTTTTCTATAATGTATTTTATTATTTCAGTTTAATGTATCCATATTCTATTTATATTTCACAATGCAGTAAAACAATTAACTTGTAAAATATAGTGGTACCATACTCTATTACTCCGATACTAAAGAATTATAATATTAAAGAAAATTGGTGTTTCTATATGCAAGTTGTAGAACAGGGGGAGGAAGGAACTCTTATTGCATAAATATCCTGCTTCAAAATTTTACCAGATGTTACACTAGATGAACCTTGCTCTGGGCCAGCAGGGTTCTTATATTCCCAAATCTCTCCCTGTGGAACAATTATGTCATGACTAATAGTGATCTGAATTATTGGCATAAATCATGGAAAATATGTATTTTATAAGATTGGTTGTTTTTTTAAGCATAGCTGAAGGCATTGGAATATGTGTAAACATCCAAATACACTAAATCCAGGACTGACACAACAAAGTTTATTCTGAATTGAGTATGTATACCATACATAAATTGAGAAACTCCTTTAACTTGTTATTTAATCCTAATTGCCCCTACCTTAAGGACTTTAAAAACCTGAACCTAATAAATTGTAAATGATTGCTTCTCATTGACATTCTTAGACTTGTAGTTATCTTGAGCAGTCCAAGATAAGAAACTGGAACAGAAGATAAGAATATGGTAGGAGAGAGGAGGAGGAGGGTGGGAGAGGGGGGTATTGATGTATGAAGAAAAGCTCATTTGAGTTCAAAAGAGCAACTTCTAGAAAAGGCATACATTACGTATATTAAACTTTAGGGTTAAATGAGCAAATATAGACTATGTGTGCTTATACATGATTGTATGTTAATGTGAGTAGACAAGAAGCTAGAAACAACTAATCATGTTGTATTTAGAAATTCAAATTATTTTCATTCAGCCTAAATCATTGTTTGATTTATTTTGATATCATTGATGAATGATGGAAGTAGTGTGGTTCAGTGGTTAAAAAATTGAGCCGAAAGTGGATAAGCTTAAACTAAGTTCACTCTAAATTATGAAAGACCGTTTGAAATTACAATGACCCTGAAATGACTTATGACCATTTTTTTCACACCTATGACTGTTACAGCATCCCCAGGGTCACGTGATCAAAATTCAGATGCTTGGCAACTGACTGAATATTTATGAAAGTTTCAGTGTCCCGGGGTCACTTGATCCCCTTTTGCAACTTTCTTTCAAGCAAAGTCAATGGGGAAGCTTGATTCACGTAACAATCCTATTGCTAACTTAATAACTGCAGCGATTCAATTAATAATAGTGGCAAGAAAGGTTCTAACATGGGGCACAATTCACTTAACAATTGCCCTGCTTAACAATTGACATTTTGGGCTCAGTTGCGTTCAGTTGAAGACTATCTGTAATAAAGTGTGTGCGAGAGAGAAAGGGAGGGAGGGAGGGGGAGGGGGGGAGAAAATGTTTTCATTGTTCAAATGGTGGCCTCTTCAGGTGCAGATTCTTTACTCTGGAAATTGAATTACAAAGTGGTACAATTTGGAGATTCAGTAGAAAATATTGTAATATTAAATAATTCTGCAGCTCATCAATTTTCACTATCGGACCAAGTTGGGCAACCATCAGTTTCTATTTTGGTCTCTGATTCTACTAACTATCAAATCACTCTTTGGCTTTTCCATAAGAAACCCAATTTGAGACAGACTAAAGGACAATAATAAGCAGTGGGGCAGAGAGTTACCAACAACAGTAGAAAATAGTGCAAAATTGCAACGATCAAAGTTATTTAAGATTCCCAAAGACTTACCTCCAACATCTAAATCAACTTTGGAGTTGATGACATGAGTATGGATTGTACCAAGTGTGTGATCTGCAACTCTATTGCCATAATTCAGCCCGTCACCATGGAGGAAAGATGAGATTATGTATCCAGTTGCTTGGACTTTGCTTTCAATGGCACCATTTGGATGAAAACTAAAACTCCAGACATAGTCATAGTTACCAATGGTAACTATAAAACGTATGACTAGTGAAGAACTAGCGAGTCCCCCATAATAGAAAGACTGAAAATTGGAAAAATGACGCCGGAAAGGGGTCCCTGTACTCTGCTCAAACACACAAATTGAGTTCTTGTGTACCTCTGGCTTGATGTTTTCAATTAAATAAACAGCATCGAGGTAGGTGGCAGAGTAAGGGCAATCAACTCCACGAACTAATGAATAAGCAAATCTTCCTATTCCAAAACTTGCATCCATATATCGAGTTATCATTCCACTAGGACTATTGGAGCCATAGATAGAAATGGCATCCTGCACACTGAGTTCATATACAATCCTTTGGTCCTTGAATCGGATATCATAGAGATGGAGTCCCTTGTGTACATCCATCCGAAAGGCAAAACTCCAGGTTGGGGTAGTTATTTGGTTGTTTCTCACTTTGTAGCGTTGCCCCAAAGGCTCATGGCTGAAGGATCCAGGTTTTAGAGGGGGTGTCCTTGGATGAAGTGAGGAAAAGCTCCTATCAGAAGAAACCGGCTTAACTTTTGTTACACTCACCCGCTTTGCTTTGAATTCTTTTTCCAATTCTGCCAAACCGTTAAAATATTGGCCATTATAAAATACTTTTGAGACTTTCCAGTGAGCGACATTCAGACTGCTGTGGTCAACAAGTACTTCTAGTCCCAATGGATGCAAGAAAAAGCCACTTACATTCTGAAACAAGGTAACCCAGGAAAAGCGTTCTCCAGACTGAGACCCTCCAGGTACTGCAAGAATACCTTCAAAATTGCTTCCATTATGCCCAAATACTTGAGTCAAAAAAGTGGGTGCCTCTAAAAATTTCTTCTCCACTAGGAATGTCCGAATATCCCCAAATTCACTGAGTAATATAGGTCTGCCATGATAGAATAATTTCTTTCCATACTTTTGCACTGTCACATCCCAATGATATGTGGGCACTGGAAGTGGCCCTACAACATACTCAGTGATATTTGGTTCTGGTTGATTTCCAAAATACACCACAGCCAATGCTTGTCGAGGAGGGCGTGGTCCATCATGATCAAGGAATTTCAGCACCTCTTCCTTGCTGGGGATATTGACATCAACATAATAAATGAAATTTTTGGAAAATACAACATGAGAATCATCTACCAAGGGCAACTGTAGTTGCAGATATTTCACCACCTGTACCATCTCTTCTGCTGACAGGGCAGCAAATATCACATTCTTGTTCTTCTGACTTCTATCCAAGGAAATAGATGACTTAGTACCACAATGACTAGACTTCTCCCTCCTGGTCACCAACACACACACCAAGGCAAAAATTGTAACCAAAGCAAGTATAAGAAGAACAAGGAGAGCTTTTGGGTTCATTGCAAAGATATGGCTTGAAGACTCACCAGCTGTTTAAATGAAGGCAGTCCCAAAGACAATTCAATAGCTGCTAGATGGCAAGAGACTTTATCTATTTTCTGCAGGAAATGGGACCTCACTGGATTGGTTCCAAAAAGTGGAGGCTTAGAATTCATGGTTTTGATTAAAAAGTAAACGCCCTTTCATGGCAGCTTTAATCTTTTACAGTGCCAAAAGTGAACAATGCATGTAGTGAAAGACTATAGATCACAAGAAAAGAACTAAATATTAAATTGAAAATAACAAATTACTTAATTTTGAAAAGATTCCTGAACTTATTGCTACATTGCTCATTTATGCATTTTTACTATTCTCCAAGCAAATAAATAGACTTTGTATTAGTCTTAATAGAGAAATGTTGCTCTATTAAGTACACAGTACAACTGCTATTTGTACAAAGCATCAAATCTCAAATGTGCATAGAAGTAAATTGGAGGATCAGTTGATCTACAGCTGCAAAGAACTGAAGTTGGACTAGATGCTTAGGGCATAGCATAAATTAGAAGAACTAAGAAGAACAATTGATGGGCTTCAACAGTAGAGTTTTTTTGAAACATTAAGTTTATCTGACTGCAGAAAGTTAGAGGAAAGCTCCAGAAATGGAATGTATGGGAGAAGTGCAAGTGCTACAGCTTCAGAAACTGCAGCCCATGCTAGAAATAAATTATTTAGGTCACTTTTGCACTGGCAATGTATTGTATTCTGTAGTCTTTCAACAATGGCTATGTCAAAATTATATTAATGAAGATGGGCTTCACATCACTTTAGGGTAGTGCTCTGAAGATGCTGTAAATCATTAGTGAAGAAACAGATTTAGAATCATTGTAAGCAAGATAAATCAGAAGGTAATGAAATTCAGAATATGTGAAGAAAATCTACCCATTACACCATGCATAGCTTACAAAAGTGGAGACAGGCCACTGATACTAATCAGGTTTCTCCTGCAGGAACAACTGGGAGTTTTTTTGAGATAGGGATTTGAGACTGTCTCAGCATATTAAAAAGCATATTATAATAATGTGAGGATTTAGGATATTCAGGTAGAATAAAATATATACATTAACCAGGTATCGGAACCAGTTTTGGAAGTGTAGAGAACAAACAAATGAACAAACAAGCCTATGGCATTGTTTGCCAAAGACTGTGTAACTTTCATCCGCTCTTTGTCCAGGCAGCATGAAAAGTCATGACATATTGAGTGTATCAATCAGCTCTTGGACAAATAACTACGTGGTTGGAATGTTCTTGGAATTTTTGTGATTTCCCTATAGAATGGCACATGAAGTTCAGGAAATTTTTATTTTTACTGTACCGTGATATATTTTCCATGGAAGATAAAAGCCTATTGTCTTTATGTAAACAAGGCTGCCAGGAAGCATCCATCTGTGAAAGGGCTTTTTAAAAAAGGCATATCAAAGAGGACTGCCATATAGTAGCTCTTAAACACTGTTATCACTACATTTCTGCTACGTACTAGAAATTAAATTGTTAAAGATCATTCAAGTTCCAGGAAGTCTGTCCTGGACTTATAACTATTTTTTTAGTGGCTGTTCAAAGTAAAAACAGCACTAAAAAAAGGTGACTTATGATTGTTTCCCACACTTATGACCTTGGTAGCATCCTTGTGATCATGGGATCAAAATTCAGATGCTTCGCAACTGACTCAAATTTATGATGGTTGCAATACTCCAGGATTTGTTGACAAGCAAAGTGAATGTGGAAGCCAGATTCACTTAACAACCATGTTACTAACTGAACAACTGCAGTGCTTCCCTTAACAACGGTGACAAAAAAGGTTGCAAAATGGGATGAACTTCATTTAACAACTGTCTTGTTTAGTAAGAGAAATGCGGGGGCTCAAATATGGTTGTAAGTCAAGGACTACCTTTTATTTAGCAGCCAGGAGTCATGCTCTCATGCATATTCCCATGCAGTTTTTTTAATCTCATAGTTCTGTTACTGAAATAGAGGAAAATAAAGTTCCTTAGGAAAATAAGGAAGGAATTAATAATGAATTAACTAATGGGAAAAATAAAGAAAAGGAAACTATATCAGATCCAGATGAACTGGTTGCTATTTTAGTTCTACTACCTCCAGTCTGACATCCTGCCTAGATGATAGGGGACCATTTTCTCAGAAATATATTACACCTCAAGGCTATCTTTGAGCAATGTCAGAGTAAGATTAAGGATTGGAATTCTCCCTCCCTCCCCTCCCCTCCCTTCTCTTCCCCTTTCTGCAGGCAGATAGAGGCTGCTGCTGGGTAGGAAAGACACGGAGGGAAAGGGAATTCGACCAGGTGGCCACGAAGTTGTTAGGTGGCATTGAAAAATGTGGGTCACATGATTGCAGAAATGCAACAGTGGTGCTGAAGCGGCAGCAACCCAACAGTGCTGAAGTAGTTACAATTTACCCAGATTTCATTACCTTGGGGTGTATGGGATCCTGGCATTTTGTAAATTAGCCTTTTTGATATACCTTGGTTAAAAAGATTTAGGCCTATCATGCACTGTTTCGTACAATTAAAGGTTACCAACACAAGTGTGTGTGTGTGTGTGTGTAGATAGATAGATAGGTAGATGATAGATAGATAGATGGATGGATAGATAGATAGATAGATAGATAGATAGATAGATAGATAGACAGATAGGTGACTTCAATTTTCTGGTGGTGAAGTCTGCTACTCCTAGTTCTTCAGTGCCATCATGGACTCTGACCAGAGCCTGCAGATTGGGCCATGAACATCATAACCCCGCTGTCCAAGAATAAAAACAATCCAGCAGATTGTTCAAACTATCAACAAATACGCTTTCTATCACACACAATGAAACATTTTGAGTAGATCATTGATCAGTGCCTATGTGACATTGTAAAAATCAGTACCCATCAATGTGGCTTTGTCAAAGACTCTAGTATTTCTGACTCCATATTTGCAGTTAGTTTGCATGCTCGTGGAGAAACACCAAGAAAAGGGGATCCCATTACATTTGGTTTTCCTTGACCTTGAAAAAAACTTGGATTGTGTTTCGCATCAATTAATTTAGTATGCATTATGTGACTACAATGTGCCTGAACAACTGATAACACGGGTATAGATGCTGTATACAAATACCAACCATTGCATGAAAAACATTGTTGGCCTTTTTGATAGCTTTCTTGGTGTTCATCAAAGTTCAGCATTATCATCATTGCTGTTCATGTTTATCATAATTTTTTTCTCCTATAATCCTTAATTCAGGGTCAAGTTGAGGCAACTGAATCTAGCTCAGCATTTACTGGCCAGATGTCCTAGCCAATTTAGCCTGCACCTCAACATCAAAAAAGCTGAATAGTTAGAGATCAGCCCAAACAATGCCACCATACAAGTCAGCAGTGAAAATCTAGTGAAGACCAACACATTTTGTTGTCTACGATTCCATCTACAAAGTGATGGCAGCATCAAAAATAAAATATGTATATATAAGAGTAAACAGAATATGATTACAGTGGAAGGAGATAACTGATGTGCTTCGAGATTGATGCATGCCAATCCATGGGTATAGATGCTGTATACAAATACCAACAGTTGCATGAAAAACATTGTTGGCCTCTCTTTATATACCTTTTATTAATAAAAGGTATATAAAACATGGTGCACCCAGAAGCTCTATATGTTGCTGAGTGCTGGACAGCCACCAAATGTTAATTGAATGCACTTTACATGCCATGGAGATGTGCATGCTTCCCTGGTGGTTAGGTGATTCTCTCCTTGACTGTGTACGCCACGACACAGTTCGGAGCAAAAGGGCATTGTGTCAATAAAATGCAGGAGAAACGCCTACAGTGGTATGGCCATGTTCTATGACCAGCACCTCACACAGTTGCCTGTTACATCCCTTTCCACTTTAATATAGATGGCAAGCACCCCATGGAAGACAACAGAGAAGATGGCAAGATGGCCCACGGTGGCCCACGTGGTAAGATGCTAAGCCTGCGCGCTACTGAGGTCGACAGCTTGACTGTTCGATTCCTGTGAGTGAATAAACCATGTAGGGACAAGAAAGGAGCCTCTCCCAAATTCCTACAGTCATTCAAGTGTCCCATGGGTAAAGATTACACTGACTGAAAAAATTCCTTTCACAGAGGCAGGCAGCCACCTTGGTGATCCCTGGCTAACATATGCCATACGCTAAATAAATAAATAGAGAAAATGCAGGAGAAATGCCTGCAGTAGTACGGCCATGTTCTATGAGCAGCACTTCACACAGTTGCTCGTTACAGCCCATTCCACTTTAATGTAGATAGCAAGCGCCCCATGGAAGACAACAGAGAAGATGGAAAGATACAATAAATGTGGGCATGAAAATGTCCAGTTAAACACAGATGTTACATTTGATTGTGCAACATGGTGATTATTGACTTGAAAAACAAACTGCACCTGCAGGAAAAATGCTAGGATGATTATGACGTTTGTTTTCCAATAGTTCATTGTTCCCAGTGGTGGGATTCAATTTTTTTTACTGCCGGTTCTGTGGGCGTGGCTTGGTGGGCATGGCAGGGGAAGGATACTGTAAAATCTCCAGTCAGAGGTGGTATTTGCCCGTTCTCTGAACTACTCAAAATTTCCACTTCCGGTTCTCCAGAACTGGTCAGAACCTGCTGAATGCCACCTCTGATTGTTCCCAGTCTTCACAATAATGTAAAAATGCTCTCCACAACAACAGTGAAAAGATAACCTTATCCACGTAAAAGAGTTTTGGGGTATTCCTTTCGGTTAAGATAGGCGGATGAAAGCACCGGTTATTAAAACACGGGACAATAAAATAGTTAACAAAATTTAATAATGAATCAGTGCATTGATCTGGGTCATTGGGCATAGCTCTTGTTAAAATATAACTGTAGATATTATTAATAAAATGGACTCTTTGATTTATAATAGTAGTAGTAGGAGGCAATAATTTCTTCCATAGAATTTCTCTTGA